GTCAACAGCCACTTCATCTTCTGACTCATTGTGCGGCACTGAAAAGCCATTGGTGACCTCCACTGAGTGTTTGTCGACCGTTCCCAGCAGGGTCCCGATAACTCGGGCAGCACCCTCGTTGCGTTGCTCGTAGCTGTCCACAATGGAGGCCAAAATGACTGGGTGCAGCCTGACCACGCGGCCATCGGGAAAGGGCCCTGGGAGAGCGGGACCAGGCAGAGCGAGCACTGGGGTCTGCGCCGGAGCTTGCGCTGAGGCTGAGGTCTGGGCAGGAGCCCCAGTCGTAGCCGCTGCTGCCACAGGGTCTGAGGATGAGGCTGGAGTCCCAGTGGAAGGTGGAGCTGCAGCTGGTGCTGGCGTTGGCACTGGGGCTGGGACTGAGGTTGGGGCCGAGACTGGGGCCGCCGCCAGGGCCGGAGCTGGCGTGGCAGGAGGAGCACTTGCCAATTTTTTTTTTTTCTTGCAGCGGCCGCATTCTGGAGTAAACTGCCTCCGTCCCTGCCAGGCATGGTGGCAACCTCACACCTTCCCTTTGCTGCATGTCTGTAACTGCTTTGAAAAAAAATTCCTCTCTTCTTCCCTCATTGGAAACCACCACAACCAGCTCCTCAGAGTGTGCCACAGAGGTGTGGACAAAAATGGTACCTAATGTGTAAAGACCAACAATAGGCATTTGTGAATGTGGAAACATGTGTCCTACTCATCAAAACACAGTGATCTGTTGCTTCCCATTTCTCCTAAAACATAGACTGACAGGTAATAAAAGATATACATTTAAAAAACATTTTTTGTAGCTTTTTAGTTGATTCATTAAACTTGCTTTATTTATCAATATTAAAGTCAGGAAGTAAAAAAGCATAATAACCATGATAACACCCAAAATAGTTTTTAATGATGTTAACTATTTTTGAAGACTTCAATACCTAAAACTTACATATATATCTTCATATTCCCACCTCTAATACCTAAAAGGTAAAGTGCACAACCTCAAGAAGTGGTCCAAGAGAGAATTTGTGATGATGAGCTGATCTTAATCAAAAACACTAAGACTCGTACATCCGCATTGATTATCTTACGTGGGGCAAATGATTTCATGTGTGATGAGATGGAGCGCTATTTACATGATGCCCTTTGAAGTGAAGAGAGTTTTGTAGTCAAAATCTGTGGTTCCAGGTGGGGGTGCTGTAGAAGCAACCCTGTCTGTATACCTTGAAAACTATGCAGCCAGCATGGGGTCTCGGGAACAGCTTACTATTGCAGAGTTTGCCAGATCACTTCTTGTTATTCCTAATACACTGGCAGTTAATGCTGCCTAGGACTCCACAGATCTGGTTGCAAAATTAAGAGCCTTTCACAATGAGGCTCAGCTTAACCCAGAACGTAAAAACCTAAAATGGATTGGTCTTGATTTGAGCAATGGTAAACCTCAAGACAACAAACAAGCAGCAGGGGTGTTTGAACCAACCATAGTTAAAGTTAAGAGTTTGAAATTTGCAACAGAAGCTGCAATTACCATTCTTCGAATTGATGATCTTATTAAATTACATCCAGAAAGTAAAGATGATAAACATGGAAGTTATGAAGATGCTGTTCACTCTGGAGCCCTTAATAATTGATCTCCTTGTTTCTTTATTTATAACAATGTTAAATGCAGTCGTCTTGTAGCTTGAGTATCCATTAAAATACACCAAGCTGTAAACTTGGGTTTTTGTGATGTAGGAAATGGTTTCCATCTGTGCTTTGGTCCTCTGATTTCACATATTATAACCCTAGTACTTTATTAGTTTAAAAAGAAATTGAGGTGGTTCAAAGTTCATGCCCTCTGAACACACATTGCTATTCCCATCCCACCGCCAATGCACAGGGCCGCAACACCACGACTTCTGCCCGTTCTCTCCAGCGCGTGTAACAGGGTCACAAGAATTCGACAGCCAGATGCTCCAAGAGGGTGGCCCAAGGCTACAGCCCCTCCTTGAATGTTGACCTAAGGGGGAGAAGAGACTTAGATTGTTTATTCTTCTGTGGACATAGTTTAAAATCCTAAACTTGTCCTTTTCCTCTTAATGTTGTATTAGCATGCTACACTTTCAAACTCAGATTTCCATTTTAACTGCTTAGGAATAAATTCACACCCTTGTGAAAATTCCAAAAAAAAAAAAAAGTCACCACGGACACACGTCCTAGGGCCAGGCTCCCCGGGCTCTGCAGCGTTGTCTGCGCCAGCACAGGGCCAGGCATCTGGCTGGCTGCGTGGTTCTCTCTTGGTCCCTCTTGCAGCTTAATGGATGACAACGCACAGCAACAGGGCACCGGCACCAAGAGGGGCTGACAGCAGACAGCAGGTCCTGGTGCTCCCTCCAGCCTCGCTAGGCAAAGCTGGCCCTGGGCCAGGCTGGGTGCAGGGCCAGGGCACCATGAGGAGGGAAGGTCAGCGGGGATTGTCAAAAACAGTCCCTCAAGTTGAGTCTCAAACTTTGAAACAGACAAAGCCTTCGCTGCATGGCAGAAGCAGCCCTGGAGTCTGTTAAAGACAGATGGGCAGAGGCAGTGCCGGGGGCTGTAGGACTCTTGGAACTGGAGGCAGATCAAGGACCACAGGCTGTTGGCCAGCTCTGCCATGCTGAACCTGGGTGCCAGCACCATGCCCTGCCCCAGTAAAGTGGCAACTGTTGGCCTTGCTGCCCCAGCCCGCACAGTGGTGAGGGGCCAGGTTCCTCTCTGCATCCTGGCTTCCTACCTCATAGGCTGGGTTCCCCTTGTGGCCTTGATGTTGGCTGGTGTAGCTGTTGAGGATGGGCCTGGGAGGCCAGAGCTGCAGCCCCACCCGGGGGGCAGGCAGGGGTTCCTGAGCTCAGCCGGCACATGGGTGGGGCACATCCCCAGGGAGGGATTTGTCCCGAACCAGAGAGGTGTCTGGAGAGGAGAGAGGATTGGCAGAAAGAAGATGTGTTGGTTTTGATAGAAGAGAAGCTACAAATCAATTATTTTCAAAATCAGGAACTCCCCACCCCCTTTTATGCATGAGTCCCTTCTTCCTGTAAAAAAATGGATGCCCTCCTCTTGATTCCATTTATGGCTCCACTGCCCAGATGGGAGGCTCCCAGAGGAGGCCCTGGGCATCAGAGCCTGCCCAACCCTGTTGTGCCTGGGCTGGGAAGGGACCCTTTCTCAGGAAAAGCAAAGTTCGGTGAGTGGCTTACAGACCCTGTGAAGTGAGGGTTGATTTTGTGATAAACATTTTTCTGTTTTTCTTTTTAAAATATAATCGCCCTTGAATGTGAGACCCTGGGAGGAGCCCCAGGCTGACTGAGATGTAGCCTTTGGGCCCTGCAGGAGCCGGCCCACACTGGAGGCAGGAGAGCTAGCAGCCCTGCCCAGGAAGTGCTTCTTTGGCTAGCTCTGGTTGTGTTTGGAGTTTGGCCTTGGGTGAGGCCCAAGCAAGGGGTCTGTGACTATGGCATGGCACGTGGCATGCGGGCAGCGTGCATGCGAGGGTGTAGGCATGCGAGACGACATTGGCAGCAGACAAAAATAAAGAACTCTGGATGAAGCTTAAGAAGAGATAGAGAGAATACATGAACACGGTCCTCGTACTAACCCACAGGTTACAAACTTGGTTGTGCCGTAGATTTGTAGAAAATTTCGTTGTGAAAGAATGGCACTGTTAGGCAGCTGGGGGCTCCCCGGGCTGGTGGGACTTGTCTGGTATACAAAATACACCATTTCTTTTCTTTTCTTTTCTTTTCTTTTCTTTTCCTGATGTGAATGTTAAGCAGAAGGGAGAGTCCTTACTCCCTTCCAACCTCTGCTCCAGTTCAAAACCCAGAAACCAGAACACAGATATGATTGTAGGATTTTATCATCTGTGTAGCAGGGGGTGTATGTATATGTGTTTCTAGAGTGAGATTTGTGTTTTCTACCCTTTCCCTCTCTGGCCAGTGGGCTGGAGCTGGGAGAGGTGCTGATCTAACAGTGCCAACAAGTGCTCCTTAAGCCTGCAAGGCTCAGGCCTGTGGGGCTGGTGCTCACCTTTGACAGCTGAATGTTTCTAAAGAACTGCTGCCCCAGGGGGAGGACAGGAGCAGCAGAACAGGGAATGCCAGACACACGCTGGCTGCTGCTGGAAGGCAGAGTGGGGCTTCCTTTGTCTGTCTGAGGAGAGAGGCAGGTGTCACCAGTTCCAGCCGAAGCCTCCTCACGGGCCCTGTCAATTTTTGTACAAGTCTTGTAATTATTGAATCAAGTTGTTTTAGTGTAATAAAAACGCTTGTGAGAAAAAAAATGTATTTAAAATGTATGTTATATATTAAATTAATATATCCCTGGCTTCTTTGGCCCTGGGAGCCAAAAGGGCAGTGAGGAGAAGGCTTAGCAAGAGGCCTGGTGCAGGGGAAGTCAGGTCCCTCAGGAGCCCCTCCTCCCCCAGAGGAAGGAGGAAGAGGTCTAGAGAGTCTGCTGGAGAGTCTCTTCAGTTCCTCAACAATGGCACTGCAGGAGGGTGCAGGCCACAGATTACTCCTTGCCCTTCTCAGGGGTACTGGGCTCCCAGGGCCACTTGGTAATCCCCAGGGGTTCAGTCTCAGGGTCCAGCTGTGGCTCCCCCAAACGTCCCTCACCCTCCATGTCCAGCTCCTCAAAAGAAGAGCCGCTGGCACCTGACTCACTGTAACTGTGCTCACTGCGGGTGTCACCATCATCCCAGCCACCGGTGCTCACCCCCGGTGACAGTGTCGCAACTGAAGTCTCCCGGCTGCCAGGGCTCACCTCCAAGCTCACGGAACTCGTGTCACCCATCGTGTCAGCTCCTGTGCCATCCACCTGGGCATCAACAGCCTCTGCAAGCCCCCGCCATTTCCGCTCTGTCTACGTCAGCTGAGGGTGTTTTTAAATATTAATTTAAATTATAAAAAGTATATTTTATCCTCTGATAAAACACAGTAAAAGAGAAGGTATTGAGAGGCAGACACCCAGGCAGCCAAGCAGAGTGGATCTGTCCTGGGGACCAACAGCCTGAGGAAGAAGCCAGAACCTTTCCTCCTGCACCCACTGCAGCCCAGTTTCTCTGACCCCATCCTGTTCTCTGGAAGCCTGAGGATGAATCTCGACCCTTTCAACAACTACTCAGACGAGGAGATTTGGAAGGTCCTGGAGCTGGCTCACCTCAAGTCTTTCGTGGCCAGCCTGTAACTTGGGTTATCCCACGAAGTAACAGAGGCCGGTGGCAACCTGAGCATAGGCCAGAGGCAGCTGCTGTGCCTGGGTGGGGCTCTGCTTCGGAAATCCAAGATCCTGATCCTGGATGAGGCCACTGCTGCGGTGGATCTAGAGACAGATAACCTCATTCAGACGACCATCCAAAACGAGTTCACCCACTGCACAGTGATCACCATTGCCCACAGGCTGCACACCATCATGGGACAGGGACAAGGTAATGGTCCTAGACAATGGGAAGATTGTAGAGTATGGCAGCCCTGAAGAACTGCTGCAAACCCCTGGACCCTTTTATTTGATGGCTAAGGAAGCTGGCATTGAGAATGTGAACAGCACAGAATTTTAGCAGAAGGCCGCAGGGGCTAGAAAAGGACTATAAGAATAATTTCTTGTTTTATTTTTTGTAAAATACAGAATACATACAAAAGTATATATAAAATGTACATTTTAAGAAGGATAAGTGAACACCCATGAACCTACTACCTAGATTAATAAATATCACCAGATGCCTGAGAAACTGCTCAATTATCTACCTCAGTCATACTTCCTTGCTACGCACCTTCCCAGGGACAACCACTGTCCTGAATTTCATGATAATTGTTCCCTTTCCTTTCATTTCTGTTTTATCACCTTTGGAAGTACATATCTTTAAACAACGTGTGCCCTTTTTTACTTATGTAAAT